TTGGGGGCCCGTATCATGGATATCGTACACCATCTTCATCCACCAATCAGCTCTGCAGACACTCCCCATGCGGCCGTCACCAGACCAGGCGTCCGTATTGGAATAGCTCCCCTCTGTCCGTGGTGTGGTGGTGACACGGCTATCGTTTCGGCATCTCTATCACTTTCTGATTTGGTGATAATGGCCGCCAGGATAGAAGGTGACTCTCCCCACCTGACAAGGGTTCTTCCTGGTCCAGTGCGAACAAGAACCACGCTGATAGGAGGAGAGAGCAGAGAGACAGAGATGGGCTCATCTGTCTGCTGCTTCTCCTTTCGCTGTCCAATCCCAGGCTGGGGTGAGGGACAAGACCTGTTGGTGTTTACTGAACTGCAGCAGGGTAATATCAGGTCTCCTGCCCGGCAGAGCTGTGTAAATCCTAAGACTGGATAGAAAGAGATGCCAATGCTTCGGTAGGTTAAGCCCCTCCCACAGATGTATTTTATGTGCGTTTGGCTGCCGGTGGAATGTCCATCAGAGGTCTGCGGTGTGTGCCGAGCCAGTCCCAATACAAACATAGCGCAGCCTGTGCTGTTTACCTTTCTGGGCTCCCGAGTGATCTTTGGACGTCTCGTCCTCGGAGCGTCCCCCCCTCGTCCTCGGAGCGTCTCGTCCTCGGAGCGTCCCCCCCCCTCGTCCTCGGAGCGTCTCGTCCTCGTAGACTGAAGGGAAGGACGGAGGTCACATAGAAGACTGAAGGGAAGGACGGAGGTCACATAGAAGACTGAAGGGAAGGACGGAGGTCACATAGAAGACTGAAGGGAAGGACGGAGGTCACATAGAAGACTGAAGGGAAGGACGGAGGTCACATAGAAGACTGAAGGGAAGGACGGAGGTCACATAGAAGACTGAAGGGAAGGACGGAGGTCAGATAGAAGACTGAAGGGAAAGGACGGAGGTCAGATAGAAGACTGAAGGGGAGGCCGGAGGTCAGATAGAAGACTGAAGGGAAGGACGGAGGTCAGATAGGAGACTGAAGGGGAGGACGGAGGTCAGATAGGAGACTGAAGGGGAGGACGGAGGTCAGATAGAAGATAATGGGCCTCCTCAGTAGGCTGCAGATGTGGCCTCTCTGTAGCGGTCTGACATATCGCATGTCACAGCTGCATCCTGTATTACAGCCACTTCCTGTTGACATGACTCCAGCGATGACCACATGGCATTTCTCAGGTCGTGTTTCCTGATGGTGACCATGTCTGTATAATGTGCTGAAATGGCCATTATTGGGAGACGGGGACACAGCGTTGTCACCCTATAACAGGAAGTCCCTGTGGCGGGGTCTCGGGGGATTATTTGTATGAAATCTGCAGATTTGAGAAATAACAATTTCCTGTGATGAGGATTTGTGACGACTCCGTAGCCGGATCTCCCGGCGTTTCTTCTCCCTCTCGGCGTGTTGGTGATTATTCGCTGTGATTGATTTTTTGCAGGTCGCAGGACCCGTCGGCCACAGCCGCTGCTACCGCC